ATCTTTCTTATATAGCGCATCTTGTAAAAAATGCATTTTTAGGCAGATTTTGTTCTATAAACAAATTCGATTAATCTAGCCATTTTTAATATACAGAGTGGGTCACTCAAAACAGTTTCATCCTGTTTTTCGGCATTAATCATTGAATTTTAAGAAAATGCTTAAACAGGTCGATTTTTTTTTGCAAATTGAACACATTCCTACAATATAGACATCTGTCATGTATCAACCCCCTCCCTTCCACTTCTTCAGCCCCTTAATTTTAAATAAGGAATGTACCATGTACGGCACATTATTGAAAAGGTAATTTTGTGGGGAAGTCATAAATATGACTGTTTATTGCGATACTTTTAATTTTAGCGCCCTCTATCGAGTTAAAAAAAACCTGTAACGTATTATAAAGTGTGACACTTCATTTGAAAGCTAATTTATTTACTAATTCAATGCACCACATATCATTATTATAAATATTATCATAATGCACTTGCAACAAAATAAAGTTAGCAATAATAGTGTTTAAAATAATGCATGACTAATTTTCAAACTATTGCAAGTGCAATATGGAGGACATTTATATTAATGTTATGTAGTGCATTAAATTAATAATTGAATTTGCTTTCAAATAAGGTGTGACACTTTATAATACGTAGTTTTTTTATCCCGATAGAGGGCGGTACAATTAAAAGTATCGCAATGAAGAATCATATTTATAAATTCCCCATAAAATTACCGTTTTAATGATGTACTACACATTGTAGTGTCACACTCTATATTACGTAATAGTTTTTTTCCGCTAGAGGGCGATAAAATTAAAGTAACGCAATGTACAGAAATATTTCTAAATTCCCCATTAAATTACCTTTTCAATGATGTGCCACACATGGTACATTACCTATTTAAAATTAAGGTGTTGGTGAAATGCAAGGGAGGGGGTTGACACATGACAGATCTCTGTATTGTAAAAATGTTTTTAATTTGGAATAAAAATTGACCTGTTTTCTTAAAATTCAATGATTAATGCTGAAAAACAGAATGAAACTGTTTTGAGTGACCCACTCTGTATATCAAAAATAGCTAGATTTATCGAATTAGTTCATAAAAGAAAATCTGCTTAAAAATGCATTTTTTACAAGATGCGCTACATAAGAAAGATCCTCCCATCGAAAAAAAATTATTGAGCGCAGCGCCATCTATATATTGACATATTTAAAATTAATTTATAACTAAAATTAAAGCTCTCTTAATATCAACTTGAAATGTTTAACAAAAATCAAGCTCTATAAGGCGACAAAGCCTGATTTTTATAAAATTTGTGAACAAAATGGGTTAAAGTAGGTTGAAATAAAAAAAAAAAAATAGAAATTAAACACCAAAAGCTCTATAAGGGAATGAAGCCTATTGATTCTGAAAAGAATCAGAATAAGGGGGGGGGGTTGAAAGATTAAAAAAATCATAACTCAAAAATAAAAACGATATCAAATTGAAATCTTCAGGAAAAAACAAGCTTTATAAGGGGATCAAGCCTATTGATTCTGAAAAAAATCTGATTGAAAATGGGAGATAAGGGGGAGGGGGTCCGTCGTTAAACTGTGAAGAGTATAATATAGAATGCCAAGCAATATATATGATCAGTCTAGTTATTATTTTCCGTGCCACTCCGGGGCGACTTAAAGAGTTGGATGGTGCCATTTGACTTACAAATGAGGAAACCTCACCCACCATCATGTTTAGGAAAAGCCTGAATATATGTCGAAAAAACATTGATATTTTTGAGAAAAAGTATTAAGGACCAAAAGTGTTATAATGCACAAGAATAACCTATTTCTGAAATATACGAAAGTTTCGGGGTGGGTCTGGGAGACCATAAAAAAATTACTGGTTGTACTATTTTCGTAATTTTGTAAAATGACCCTTACTATAACTTTTTTTTTAAATTTCATAATTTTAGCGGGTCGTAGGAATCGTATACTGTAAAACTCATACGACGTCGTGCGCAAACTTCGTCTTCGCTTTTGTTGCACAATAGTAGTTTGTCTAAGTGCGATACAGACAATCCACTCGAGTTGTACAATATACTTTTTCTACGACCCACTAAGGAAAATATATAAATTTTAAAAATTATTTTACAAGTTATTTAGATAAAATAACTATTTTAAAAATTGTAACTATAATTTATAAAATAAACCCAAAAAAGGCTTTAATTTGCGTTCCATCCTGGATTTGAACCCCGGGCCCTTTGTATGACAAGTCAGTACGCTACCTCTGGACACCTGGCGTTTCTTATTTAGTACTCGTAATTAAATTATTGGTTTTAGATAGTTTTATTAAAATTACTATTAATTTGTAAATATAGACGGATATCTTGTTTTTTTTTTGTGGAATGCTAATATTTATCGATTCTTCACAAGAATCACTTGTTTTTAATTATATTTAATCTGGATTTGGAATTTCACAAGGAATTTTCGAGATTATATATTTTCAAACCACTTGATTAACTCATTTTCCCAATGGGGTCTATTCTGTAACAATTCCTTTATATTTAACGGCCTTTAAAAATATTGGCGGCCTATAAAAATATGTTCGTATTCGTTAATTTACTTCTGTCATTATTTAAACAGATTTCTTTAAGATATTCCTCTAATGTATTTTAAAGATCCGTTTAAATAATGACAGAAGTAAAGAAGAAAATGTTTTTAAAGGCCATTAAAAATAAAGGAATTGTTACAGAATAGACCCCAAAGGCAGATATTCGAGTCATGTCCGTAATAACTACGCACGGCTGAATTAGACACTCCGACGTGTGTGAATTTTTCCAATGTTTACTTTAAAATATTTGTGGATCACCCTACATAGTTTTGTTTTGTAAATAATCCCGAAATTGCCCAGATTTACGGTTCCCGAGATATGACCAGACGCAGCCCTAAATATTTGTTTGACATTGTAATCCATTTTCCTCAAGTATTATACTTATTCTATATTTTTTTTTTGCCAAAATCTTTCTTTAACACAAAATAATTTATTGAATATTTACTCTATTTAATAATTATCGTCGAGGATGTATAACATCTGCATACAATGTAATTATTGTTTTATTTGCCTTCATTGTGATTTTATTTCTGGTGAGTAAGCATCTGGAAATAATCCTTAGCTACCGACAAGACAGGTGAACTGTTACGAGGCCTCTCTCTTACCTACCTGGTAATCAATATTGAAACGGGGGAAATGATACAAAAATAAATCACTCTTAGTAGTGTCTAGATTACCGTTTAGTAGTTCTCATAATCTTCCTATTCTACGTGCTTAAAACTGGGTTTGAATTTAAAAACTTGATGATTTGGTGAAAGGAATTAACGAAGAATTAAAATAATATGTTTATTTCTAATTTCGTCACGTTCCGAGTTTTCTATTATTTTTTGGCTTAACATGATTTTGTTTCCTGAATTTATTTTTCAATATTGCGTATTATAGAATCGTTAACTCTTCTGTAACAGAGGCGTATCCATGATGGAGGTATCCGGGTTAAACCTCCTGTCCCCCCGTCTCCCTAAGAGCCCTAAAAACTATTGGTTAAAAAAAAATACATTCTACTAAGATCCACCATATATCAACCACATAGACAAAATTCCTGGGCACGCTACTGCAGTTCTGCAAGTCTACTCAGTTCTAAGATCTTTTGTAGAGGGCCAAATATAAGAATGTAATGTGGACCATGGGCCAAAACAAAACAGCTTATTAAAAAAGAAAAGGTTACAGATATATTATATATTATAAAAATTTTGTTGACTGCGCAAATGAAAATTGCTAGTTACGCTGTATCGATGCTTTCGTCCAGTGTTCTGGAAAAACAACACTTTTCCACCATTTCTCCAATGGCGACTTTTATGTAAGGAGTGTCATCGGGAGTTCCGGCATTCAGCTAGTACCCAATTTCTAAGTAAATAGCCTCATTTTTAAAGATCCAGGTACATTTTGAGCTAAAACTAATCATAACGTGCCTACGAACGTACTGTCGAATTAGACAAAAATTAGTCTTTCTCATAAAACACTTTCACATCCAATCACAATAATACATAGTATGTCATTCGATTCAGTCAATGTTTCCCATCAATTTATGTTATAGTTTTTAATTAGAGACTTTAGTTATTGATCGGCGTTTTCTTGAAATACCGAAAATTTCACAGGGTTTGAGCCTCGAGGGCCGTTATTGTAAGTTTTAGCCGAAAAAGTAACTGGGCCTTTAATTATTATTAATAATTAATAAAATTAATTATTAATTATTAATTATTAATTATTAATTATTAATTATTAATTATTAATTATTAATTATTAATTATTAATTATTAATTATTAATTATTAATTATTAATTATTAATTATTAATTATTAATTATTAATTATTAATTATTAATTATTAATTATTAATTATTAATTATTAATTATTAATTATTAATTATTAATTATTAATTATTAATTATTAATTATTAATTATTAATTATTAATTATTAATTATTAATTATTAATTATTAATTATTAATTATTAATTATTAATTATTAATTATTAATTATTAATTATTAATTATTAATTATTAATTATTAATTATTAATTATTAATTATTAATTATTAATTATTAATTATTAATTATTAATTATTAATTATTAATTATTAATTATTAATTATTAATTATTAATTATTAATTATTAATTATTAATTATTAATTATTAATTATTAATTATTAATTATTAATTATTAATTATTAATTATTAATTATTAATTATTAATTATTAATTATTTATTATTAATTAAATTCCAAGTAAACCACCACATTTTTTTCGTTGTTTCGTATTTCGTATGAGAACTTATCCTTACACCAATATTAAAACCTGTAACATGTACTTAAATCTAACTTTTTCTATAATGTAAATTAAAGTAGATTTTGACATTCAAGAAAAAATTATTTTTATTATATCGACCCTAAGCGACAATTTATTTTTTATTTTTAGATCTTTTCAAGAGACACAATGCCTACCGCCATGCAAGAAACCTATAACGTTTGCGATAAACCTCCGCCGCTCGACAAATTAAATTGTTACCGGGATGACGGCAAAGACGGTCTCAAATTCTACACTGATCCGAATTACTTCTTCGAATTATGGAGACAGGAGATGTTGAACGACACTGAAAGGATGATGCATGATAGGGGGAAGAAACCCCACAGACCTAGGACTCAGGACGGTGGACAGGGCAACCGACACAAGAAGAGGGTTAGGCAGCCACATAACACTAGAGAAAGACAGAAGCAGATGGCTAGAGATCATGGGGAATATATTATGCCACAAAATACCATCTACAGGTAAGTTACTTATATTGAAATATTTTTAAATTGGGTCTTTTAATAGTACGGTTGTATTCATAAAAAATCGTACAATTATTAGAGTTTGAGGCGAACTTGATTCTGTTTGTGTAAAATTGGCTATTATCACATTCTAATACCTATTTGTAAGCTTGTACTATAAATACAACTGTACAGTTCAGTACCTTGGAGGTAAACTGCACTATGTCATTCTAATCAACTTTTCAGTAAAACAGATTGAATGTTTGGACACTTTTTATGCTCCATAATTACATATACTAATTATTTGGCAGTTCGACCCAATTCACAATATTTATGTATTGTTTACTAATCTAACTAATAAAACATCTTTTTGTTTTAATTTGCATAAATTGTTGGTTTTTAAGTTATATTGTCATATAGCTCCAACATATTTTTATGTTCTTATAGCAAATTGTCTATGACATAATTATAATACGACTAACATGATAGTTTAATATAATAACATGAGTAAGTATTGCACATAGCGTTGTGTACCTTTTAAGTTTATTGGACATAGTGTTACATTTTGTTGGCTTTTTTATTGTGACGTTACTAATACATGGTGTAGGATACCCAGGAAAGGTCTCGATGAGCCAAGTTTAAAAATATATTTTTTTTTAAAACTGCGACAGGGCTGTTTCCTCCAATGTACTGAATTTGTATTTATAAATTTTATTCCACTTCAATCAATGAATGTTGAATATAAATAAATTTATAGTAAAATGAAATGAACATAAGGTCAAATCGAATTATGTACAAACAACGACCATTAGAAGCGCGGTTTTATTTCCGCCAATGTTTCATCTCCTTCATTCTGCTTATATGCTGCTTCCTTTCGTAAAATCAGTTGTTTTTGAGTGCCTGTTAAGTTTTATTTTGACTAAGAACCTAGTTCATTTAGCCATACTTATTTTTCAAACATTTCAAGCTCTAATCTATTTTTGACTTAATCTCTGTTACATGCGCAGCAAATATTTAAAAATAACTTCGTATGTTTTTCAATAAATTTTAAAATGTATAATCTGGTTTATGTATTTATTTGTTTCACCTTAGTTTGTTAGAACAGCCTTATTGATCTTGTCTACTTGATTTCTGAATTCCTTATTACGAGAGACGTAGAAAGGGATCGATATGTCTTGCAGGTTTAAAGTCGTACTAATTAATGGAATAGTAATGTACTTCATTTTTAAGCACAACAAATGAATATTAAAAATTTGTATAGTATAATTTTTTATCAAAAAAGAAAAAAAATGTAATGGAATGGAATTCAGAAAAGCCAAGATAGTCGATAGAGATTCAAATGTATACACTTACCAGTGATGTGTGATTCCTAAAGATTTTTCTTTTATACACCAAGTGCTCATTTAGGAATCACGCTCCGACCTAAAAGAATGTTATCAATTTGTCCTTGGTTTGTTCAAGGACAGTTCAGAATTCAATTTTGACATCTAGCAACTACTGTTCACAAAATCGTTACAAATTTAGAGTGCATTCACTTTCACCCATTTTTGAAAAAGTTGTTGTTTCATATTTTTTTTATGTCAAGTCAATTAGTTTCAGATTTCTTTGATACTTTTAATTCAATTGACAATTTGGCAATGTTTGTTCCCAAAACTAAACTTGTCAATATAATTTGCAACATTGGGCAGTGGCCTGGCTTAGCAAGTTCACTATTGTGTATCGATATCTGCAGTCAAGCCAGGCCGAGCACATTTAGTAGTTGAAATTCAGTGTATGTCCAAACAAACTGCTCGCTAGTTGCATTCTACTGCGGGCAGGCGTTATATCAACGAGTACGAGGTATAATGGGATGTGCTATCTCTCGGAGGATATATAAAACCGCCAGTGCTAGTACAAGTAGTCCATGAATGAGGCTTGTTAAAGATCTTTACTTCTGGTGGAACATCAGAGAATTCGGTTTAATTTCTGATAGAAAATTAATAAATAAAACTAAAACTCAGATTTTTAATTACAATTTTCTCAAAAAAAATGTTAGTTTTTCTGCATTTTTTTATTATTTACTATAGACCATGGATGCTATAGACCCTAGTTACATTTTATTTCAAATGGTTATATAGATCAAAATAAACTTAAATTATAACTAAAACAATATCTACATAATACATCACATTCCTTCTCACCTCCCTGCTTTTAACCTTTGCTACAAAATTCGGTATCTCAATCTAAAAGTACTGAACTGTCTAAGTCATAAATAAAAAATGTACTGAATATGAAGACATAATGAAGACTCTAGTCTTCATAGTACTGAATTCACATCGTTTTTCTAAGACGATTTTAAATCAGATACTAGATCTTGAATATGACTGACTACACTGATATAAATCATAAACAATGACGTCATATTGAATATTTTCTTGAAACGGTCAAGTTTACCATGACTACAGTAAAAACATGGTCATGACAGGTATGAAATGACAAATGTAAAACTTTTACTTTTTAATTATTAAATTATTGTTTGGTTGTGTTATTTGTAAAATCGAAAGAAAGGTTGAGAATAGGGTTGCCAGATTTACGAAAGGGAAAAGTGGGACAACGGTGACGACAGGGGATCAGATTAAAAAAAACAGGTATTTTAATAAAATAAGCTCTTCTTTTTGTAGAGATCTAAAAAAAAGGTCCTTCGCTTATATTAATTTAAACCATCAGGTTCCTTTTTCTGAGGAGCTTCTCAAATAAAGGTCAAAAATTGTCAAAAATATCTTTATATAACTTTGAATTTAAAAAGCGTAGCATTTAGGTGAAAATGCGGAGTATTTTTGTAGCAAGTTAAAGAGCAGGACAATTACGCCTAAGGCTGGACATCTGGCAACCCTAGCTGATTGCCTAGATATGGAGGCATTTACGGTTTTTGTAAATGAAAAGCCAATTTATATAAATTTGGTTAAGATGTGGTGATGGCATTTGCACGATTTTGAAGTCGTTTTTTTAAAATTACTTTTATAACTTGTTTTTTATTCCTAAAAATTCAAAACCATATCCTAACTACAATACATAATACACAAACAAAAATTCACGATATCTGACAATGTCATGCGCATTGTCAATATAAACCAAACATTTTTAAATCATTATAATGACATAAGAACCTTGATCACCCTTGACTTGGTCACGTTTCTGATTTAAAATCGTCTCTAGAGAAATATTTTTTTTTTAAATTGGTACATCTATTCTTTGACTATGTCATTTTTGATCAATGTCAAAATTACTGTAAAATGTGAACGTTTGTCTTGAATTTTGGTTGTTAAATTAAATGTGTTTTTTAAGGCGTAAAATGTTAGTAATGGCAAATAATGAAGTCATTACTGAATGCAGGTCTGTAGTTCCATTTTTATTTTGCTTGTATAATTTAGAGTTCCCTATGTTTTTCGATTTTTTACCTCAACTTGGAGATTAGTGAACAAATATTTTAGTAAAAAGCGATGTTAATAGAAATACAGTAAAAGCATTTTCAAAACATTTTTGTTATAAATAAGCTTTGTTTCGAATATTAATTTGTGTAATTGTTTTCAAATAACTTGAATGGTTCAGTTTTTACTAACAAAAGTATGAAACACGTTAATAATATTAAAGGAACCAAAATTGCATTTTAAATAAAACAATTTTGCTAATTTTTTGCTAGTTTAATAATAGTTTTTAGATATTACTCAAGTTATGACTACTTAAGATATTTAAATTTAATGTGAACATAATTTAAATAATGATGATTAACCCGAACGTTATTACTTATAAAAATGTTTAAAATTCGTTTATTGGTATTAGGTCATACTTTTCTTTAAAAAACATTCTTAACATTGCAATTCTAATTTCTCTTAGGACACCACAACAAATTCAACAGGCGCAAATGCCTGCTGAAGACTTCATGATGCCTCAACAACAGATGCAGCAGCGTCCGCCAAGGCCAAATTCTATAGAAATTCGACGCTCTTACCAACAAGAGGTGCCAGATGGTTTACCATCTCCAACGTATCCTCCCTATGAAGAGAACCCCTATCAACATGGGATGTACGCACAGGGTCCTCTTAGCTCAGAGTCGTTGTATGCAGGTGGTACCCCGACTAGAGGTGGGAAGATTAGACCTAGTCAACCGCCTCCGGCACCTCCTAGCAATAACAGTACGCCATCGGCTAGTACGCCAACAAGAGGAAGAAGCATTTCGGCCGGAAGGTAAGTATCACTATGATTTTAAAAACCAGCTTTTGAAATATGAAGAAGTATCAACGAATGATCTGCATAAAACATTATTTGCAGACTTTTCAAAAACGTTTGATTATATAATCGTACTTATCTAATACACCATAAAGTGTTTTTCGTAATGGCAATTATAGTGTTCAGTTAATAATGCGAAGAAGGGTGCCTTAATGCCTAAAATCGATGATCAAAAACAAAATTGCCGCTTGGAAAGGAAAGAGTACAAGAGTTTCTAGTTAATAACTACTATTTGAAGATTGAGAATGACTCTATAGAACAAGTTCAAAAATTAAATACTTAAAAGTGGTAATTGGCAGAAAGTTATTTTTCTCATAAAAAAAGTTATTTATAATACATTAATTCTTCCCCATCTTAATTATTATTCAACAGTGTTATTTATATCTTCTAAATCAAAAAGATTTTAAATAGAATACAAAATAGAGCAATGCAAGTCATATTGGCCTGTAATAGGTACACGCCAATAAAACTCATGTTAAGAAACTTAAATTGGCTGCCAGTTAAAGACTATTTCGAATTTTTGGTATTAGTTTTTGTTTTTAAATTACAAAAGATTGACGCAACGAAGTATCTGATAAACAAGTCGGTGTATAATAAGGAAATCCATACATATAACACGATACAACAAAAGCACTTTTTCATTCCTCCAAAAAGGAGTAAAGGAGCTGAAAATTCAGTATTTTATAAAGGGCTGAAAGAATTTAATGATCTGCCTAATGATGTCAAGAACTTTTGTTCAAAACCCATTTTTAAACACGTTTATTAAAAAGGTCTGACTTAATTAAATAAGTAGCAAATTTTGTTAAATTTAAGTAAATCAATAAATAATGTATTATTTTAATGTAATTTTTAATCTGACTGTGTTTGTGTTGTAGAATTTTTTTTAATAACAAGATTGTGTTTATTACACTATCACAAAATATTCTGAATTAATGAATACTGCAAAAGTTTGATTTGACCATAAATACCAGAATGAGAAAAAAACTAAAATCATCAACTTCAGCCTTCATGTTTTACCTAAACAATCTAGTCATGTAAAATTTCTTGGTATATACAAATGGGTTTCCCACATAGATTACTAATAGCGTCTTCGATTGCACTGCCCTGCCTGCGTGGAGTGCACATAAAAGATGAGCGTTATATCGATACCGGTTACATTTCAGATTGAAAAGTAACTGGTATTGACATATCTCCCACCTTTCGTATGCACTCAGTGCAAGCCGTGCAGTAGATTCGAAGACGCTATTAGTAACAAACGTTTTGACATTAAATAAAGTAGAACGTATTGTTAATAAAGAAGGAAGCATGCTTTTCCATGAGTGTTTAATATACAGGCTGATTCATAACTACTATTGGGACATAGACAAAGGGCAGATTACTTGGACCAAAATATGGCGATAGGACCAAATATACCTTAATAAAATAATGCTGTGGAATAATATACAGGGCGTTAAATTTTTTTTTTCGTTTTTTTTTCTGATAATGTCACTGTACAATTATGAGTTGTTATCAAAATCGGCACAGAGGCGTAGCTTTGGACAAGGAATATTATTTTATGTATTATTTCACATTTTGTTACGTGTATTATTCCTGATGATGGTAGCTTTTTTTGACGAAACTTTTTAGTGTTTTTGATTAGAAAATATGACGTGAACATCATTTCTACGTAATATTGGTTCTTTTGTTTAAACACGATAATATCGCCCGTTTTCGATAAAAACGCAATTGAACAATTCAGAGTCTCAGAAGGGGATTTCAAATAACACACAATAAAAAAAACTTGTAACGTAAGGCTTCTATTTCAATGGTAAAGCAGAATTAAAAACAATTTAACATAAAAAGAGCAAGCTTAATTGTTCTATGTGACCTCCTCTGACGCCTATGTCTTTTCTAATTTTTGTAATATTGGACTTTTGGATGTCAAATAAAACATTATTCTGTCCCCTTATAAAATTACCCGCATTGGTTGTCTCGTGAATTAATTTCATGGGCATAAACTAAGGACTTCATATGCTCCCAAACACAAAAATCAAGAGGGTTATAGTCAGGACTTCTTGGTGGCCATTCAAAATTACTTCCTCTGCCAATCCATCTTTGAGGAAATATGTCACTTAGATGATTTCTAACAACTAATGGGAAATGAGGTGGAGCTCCATCTTGCATAAACCACATTTTCCTTCTTACATCTAGTGAGATATCATCCAAAATATCATTAAAGGTATTTTGCAAAATAAATAAATCAGAGATATCATCCAAAATATCATTAAAGGTATTTTGCAAAATAAATAAATCAGAATCTCCAATTAAATTTGGAGGAAGAACATATGGCTCTAGTAGTTGGTCGTCTATAATATTCAATTTAAACTCGTGCTGAAAATGTCATTTTAACAGCATATGGGGTTTCTTCTTCCAAGTAATGACTGTTTTGATAATTAAAAACCCCTCGTCTGGTAAAAGTTGTTTCATCAGTGAACATTTCAGTCATCATTATGTTTGTTAAAAATACGTTGGCAGAACTGTGTGAGATCTCTTGATAGCAAATTTTGAACAGGAGTGAAGTTGATAAGTGTGAAACTTTTCTTTTTTAGAATTCTAATAATAGACAACTAACTTACTCTTGTTTTTTCTGATACCAGTTGACGTGAACTTATTTCAGGATTTTCATCTACTCGAACTAAAATTTCATCTTATACATTAGGTGTGATTTGTTTCGGATGACCACCCAGATTTTTACTATGAAATGACCCAGCTTCACCCAAACAATGAAATAGATTTGAAAATGTTTTGTGATTTGGTTGCCTTCTGTCTGGATATAACAATTCATACCTCCTGGCTGCAATGCGACTGCAAAAATAGCAGGGACAGAAGTTGGAAAAGTTTTTCGCTGTTTTCCCACTTCATACACAGGATATTATAATACTTGTTTAATAATTATTTCTAATCCATAAATACATGCGATTGTCTGGTTCCGCCGGTAACAATTTAAAATTACTTTTCAATGAAACATCACTGGCAGATAAACATTACCGCTAAATTCTCGAAGTAATCCGACGTGGTTTGACGTTTACCCCCTCTCTACCTACCCAAAGCCTTTCCAACTTCTGCCCCTGCTATAATAGAAACTAGAGGGATTAATTTATTAGATTTGAAATATGTGTAGCATTGAAAATGTCTTTAGTGGTTTTCAAATGTAGAATATAAATAATTTTTTTTTTGAAGGGACAATTTACCGCCGCCGCCTCCACCACCGGAAACTACAATGTCACCACCGCCAAATGGTATTCCACCACACATTGTCCGACAATCGAGTCAATCTCGATCGAATAGCCCGCATTCACAGCACACCGCCACTCCAGAACCCGCCCAGGATCTGCCGCCGCCTCCACCTGCCCCTGTCAAACAGGTAAATTAAAAAATAATAATTCGAAATACAAAATTACATTGTTTCTTCTAAACAGGCCTCTCCTCCGAAGCAGCAGACACCAGTGGCACCGCCACCGCCTCCGCCTCCACCCATGCCTATGATCGTGAACGGTCCAACTACGACGCCTCCGATGTTAAACGGCGATTTGGCGAAGATTTTGAATTCGGCGCCACCAAAATTGACGCCCGTCAAAGATCGACCGATGGCGAAGCCGCCCATGGTAGATCCGAGAAACGATTTGTTGAAAGCCATCAGAGATGGTATTAAATTGAGGAAAGTCGAAAAAATTGAACAGAAAGAGGTGAGTACGGCCGGAATAATTTTAATTGAATACAAAAACTGAAAACTGCCTAATGAGCTACACGCGACTGTGTGATAATCTTCTAATTACTGTTTTATATGAAAAAGTGTTAATATATGGCCATATTATGTACCTGGCTATTTAAAACTCATTATTTATTTTTAATTTAACAATTACAAATCAATTAAATTTTAATAATCCACTATTTTTTGTTTTTTTAAGGGCTTAGTGCTAAAACAGTACTAGTATTGAATATTTTTTAATTGTATTGTATGAGTATTGTTGTAAACACCAGTGCCAAAAAAACATATTTCTGTAATATCTTTCGATCGCGTAATTCCGTTAAATTGACAACATAAATTTCCCTCAAACACCCTGATGTCATTGGCTGTGAAGGTACCCAATACCAGATGAAAAAGTAGTGCTATTCAACAACTTGAATTACAAATTGAACGACCATTGCAATGGGATGTTTGCTTATTACATTTTATTGAATATTTCCCATGTGCAGTAACAGTGAAAAATGAGAAGTAGTAAAATATCAACAGATTGACTGTGAGATAATTGACATTGGATAAGAAACTACTGATCAAAGATACCTATTTGACTTATCTCAAGTAAAAATTTGACACTTTTTCAAATGACTTTGCAAATCGGGACTCGGACCCAATCTCACCCGATACATGGCTCACCTGCACATTTAGAGTCCTTCGATAGTAATTTAGTGTTATGAATTCTTGGAATACCTTGATAGACATTATCACTTTTATTTTGAAATCATACATTCCGATACGATTCAAAATTAAGTGCACTAACCAAATTTCAGGCTGACCCATTCATGTGTACCAACTACCAAGCAATAAAAACATCTAAATACCGAAATGATAAATTGAAGGCAGTGGTATTCCTGGTTCTATGCCCATCCTAAAAACTTTTGTTAGTCATGATATTCAATAAGAGATGGCACATTATAGAATTAGGGTTCAGGAGAGTACTAAAAGCCAGGCAGTCTGCTTCACTGGGAAAGGCATTAGGAACTTTCCATGCTCCTTCACTAAAATTTGATGTATTAGATTATACGGAAATTATACATTGGATTGCCACAAAAAATGTCTCGCCCCTTTTCCATGGGGTAAGTAATAAAAAACATTAAAAGTTTTGTACCATCAGGTCCCTGATTAGGATATAAAAGAGCCATAGAGTGTTGCACGAAGATAGTAACTGAAACTTCACTTAAGGTATGCAGATCACAGTCAAGGAATGCATTAGAATATCACTTAAATCGAGATACATCTAATAATTCACTAATAAGGCAGATTACAAAGTGGCATCAATGACAAAATAATACGTGGACGTAAATTGTAAATACCTTTAATAATTGGATGGAGGCATAAAATAATAGAGGGAAGGGTGTGGGTGAAACTCGAAGAACAGCCACCTCCTCGTGGTTGTTTAGATTATACAATTAAAATTAATTAGATTATTTCTAAACTAGTGAAGAGCTGCACATTTCTAAACAGTAATAATATGATGGTGTTCAAATATGGCTTGAGTGATCAGAAGATATTCTACAAATAACAAAATGATTTTTTCTCTTATATACAAATACCTACTTTAACCATTAAGCACTATAGAATTAAAAAAAAAAACAACTATAAAAAATCTTGAAAAATGGCGCAAAAACGAAAAATTTACCATTTTCGCAAATATTCAAATGTTTTGGGCCATCGAAAAATATGCTTTAAAAGCAGTCATATTTTTCTTGCAGGGTATTCAATACTAGTACCAATGTTTTAGCACTATAACGTCAAAAAATATAAGCTCTCAAGTAAAAAAAAAAATTTGAGAAAACTATCAAAATCATGATTCTTTTAAAAACTTTCGACATTTTGTGCGATCAGAAGATTTTGACTAATTTTGCTAGTATACACCTAAGGCAACTTTTGCGCGATATAGATAATCGAATTTGACATTTTCCGTACCACTTTACTGATCAATGTTAGTATTTTTTTACAGTTTACCATGGGTTAGATTATAAATGACGGTCACGTCGCGAGTCAATTAGACGTGACAGTCATAACCACTATCAACCACGGTCAAGGCGGCATGTCACGAATCGATAAGACATGACAGTCATGACCACTATAACACACTGGCTCATTCCCATCTCTGTAATACACTAGTTATGTAAGTCTACTTAATGAACTAATTTTGTTATAGTCCAGTAACTGAAGACCTAAAAATATGCAAAGCTGTCATTCAGTCGGTCCAGATTTCCTTTGTAGCTCAATTCTTAGTTCTTGACGGTTACTTTCAAGGGCGAAAACTTTTACCAACTCTGCTGCGTCGGAAAGGGCCCAAAATGGACCCTAAAACTGGTTTCCCGCCAATATCTTCCACAATATGCAAATTAGAGAATTTTTGTTTAGATAAAAAAGAAAGATCTTATCAATATCTACAAAAATGGTCCCTATCATTTTTGTCGGGAATTCGACAGGTTTCGAGATAAACGCAATCAAAAGTCCCCTCGTTCAGCCCCTGCTTTATCTCTATAGCAATGCTGATTAGCTTGTAAACGGGTGGACAAATTGTTTCAGAACTCGGTCAAAAATTGATATTTTTCGATGATTCAAAGTTCATTACAATGGGAAAACCCATAGGTATCGATCCATGTGCCTTGAAGCCCGTTATTTCCTGTCAAGAACATTGAAAAAGGGGTCAAAGTTGCCTTTTCCCACTATTTTGGACCATTTTATAGTAATTCATTCATATTTTTTTCTTTTAATAGTTTTTTATCCCATTTTTGTTTTAAATGGGATCTTGAGATGCCTTTAATGATCTCAGAAATTTTTTTCCTGTATCTTCCTGGCGTTTTAAAACAAAATTGATTTGTTTATTTGCATTTTTCATACGTTTTCGGAGTTCTAGAAATCTTTGAAACAAGCAGTAATTAAAAACTCATATTTCATTATATTGTTATTCAATGCACACCATTTTAAAGCTTAGAGTGTCTACTTTTCGAATGTATTTCTTTTTTGTGCAATGAACACCCTAAGTTGGTTCCCCAAAGTATAACCCCATACGTCATAATGCTATGAAATAATGAAAAGTAGACCATTTTTAAATGTACAATGTCTAATTGAAATTTTAGCTGTCTAATTGCATAAGTAGCTTTTGCTAAATGACTTAGTAAACTTTGAATGTGATATTTAAAATCTAGTTTCGGGTCTAAATATATTCCTAAAAGTTTAACCTGTTCCTCACTTTTAGCAATGATAGAAAATGTCATTTGCTGAGTTTTTGCTTCCTTTAATGTAAGACCATTGCTACCAAACCAATTATTTGACATAACTTCTGCTTCATTTAGTCTTTCTATTGTATCAGATTTATTTTTATCTGTAGCAATATATGTTGAATCTTCAGCATAATACACCTGTATGTAGATTAATTGACAAATCATTAAAGTAAATGATAAAAAGTAAGGGCCCGAGAACAGAACCCTGTGGAACTCCATATAGTGCTGAATTCTTGCCCGAAGTATGCCCATTCATTTGAACATATTGAGTTATTTTTTGCAAATAAGAGGTAATAAGCTGTAATGGTGTCCTTTCAACTCCATATCTCTCTAATTTTAATAATAAAATGTCATGTTGAACCGTATCGAACGCCCTCGTAAGATCATAAAATCTGGCAGTACTATGTGAACGATTCTCAAAACCATCCGTAACAACTTCATAGAGATCACATATTGCGTTAATTGTTGATTTGTTTGCCCTGTAACCGAATTGATTTTGGATTAGCAACTTGTTGCTTTCAAAAAAATCATAATTCGTTGTTTTAACACTATTTCAAAAATTTTGCTTACTATTGGTATAATTGAGATAGGTCTGTAAGCAGATGGTAGATTCATGTCCTCTTTTTTGAAAACAGGGTAACTCGTGATACTTTAAATGTATCTGAAAAAACTCCAGATTTCATGCACACATTAATTAGGTTAGCAATGGGAGTGTCTAACATATCAACAACTGCACTCAATCCATAAATATCCCTAGCTTTAGAATTTTTTAAATCTTTTATAATTTGATGGACTTCTGTTGTATCTGTGGGGTTCAAAAATATTGATAAATGATTAAAAGGATTTTTTTTAATAAAGCTGTTAACATTAGTAGACTGCTTGCAATACACGCACTGTCATATCCATGTAAGCTAGCTAATATATAACTGTCAAGTAAGTCTTAAACAATTAACTAGGGCCTATTGTCAAAAAAGGTGTTAGGTTCAGAGGACAAAGAAACCCTTGTGGAGCGTTATTTTCGCTCATAAGAAATCGACCGACGTAATGGTTCAAGTCTGTGATACGCCTGTGATTAATTCGCACAACAGTTTATTAATTGTTCTCCGAGTTATGGCGTAATTTTAAAGTTGTTGAAAAGTTCAGAAATAAACATGTGTTAAAGTCTAAATAATATGTATTTGTTAAATAAATCAAAGAATTAGAAGTTCATTACTGTTTATTTTAGGCCATACTGTATTTTACTTTATATTTTAATCGGTTCATTCAAAAACTACATCTTACTGCACTGTATACGTTTATTTTACAGGTTGAAAGAGGCAACGGTCTGCACGATGTAGCCAGCATCCTAGCCAGGCGGGTGGCTGTCGAATTTAGCGATTCAGAATCGGGTAGCGATTCTGAATGTGATAGCGAGGGATGGGGCGAAAATGAAACGTCGGCGTGACATCGACGAAAGGCTAGTACCGCTAGCCAGGTGTACTGAATGAAAGAAAAAGGAAGACAACGAAGATGCAGAATGGGACGATCGATGATAAGTTTGGTTGGTGAGAAAGAGCGTTAGAAAATTTGTCGAAAAAGTGGCGTTTTGTGTCTTGTCTTATGGGTTTTACTGATGTTGTTTACTATCGTTTTTTAATTTTAAATAAAAAGCTAGTCAGTTGATTTTCATTTTTTTATATTCCTAAAAAACACATCTGTCAAATATAAAAATATTTATACTACTAATTAACAATGTTTTTATTCAATAAAGAACAAATTTAGATTACAAACTTTAAATATGCAGTGTTTCCCATGAAATTTAACGCAAAAACTAAACATTCTCGCAGTATTACCTATAAGACTAATTAAAGCAAAATCAAAAGTAAGAGATAAAAATTATATTTTGCAGGCTTTGTAATTGTCGATTTTGCGCAAGGCTTCTTTGTTATGTTTTTATAGTTTATTTGTTCACTATACAAAGAAAAAAAAAAGGAATTTGTAGTGAAAGCGATAGTTACCCAAGATGTCGCTGGTGTAAATGTTTGAGATAATTCAGTACTGGTAATAATAATTATGTGTACATATATAGCGAAATTAATATTACTAGCAATACTTGGGAATAATACAGCCTCAGAATAAAGTTTGGAATGGTCAAAAATAAAAACATTAGGGTATGCATTTAGTATTGTGCATACATTTCTTTGTTTTTGCCTTCACTTTTAATTGGAAAAATTCGTATTTCAATTTTAGAATTGTAATTAAAATGTTTTACAACAAAAATGTTATTAATTCAATTAAATTTATTTTTTTTTATTTTTTGATCGTTCTTTACTTTTAAATAACTATAAAATTGATACATACATATGCAAGTTCATGATTATAGGAAAATCCAGAAGCAAAGTATTTTTTCTCACAATTGTTTTTATTTAAATGAGTATATTAATAGAAAATGCCGAAGCTGTCTATTTCTGCGATATCGTCGTTGATACTGCAAACTGTCGTATGTCAAAATAGCCAATTTTCGGGAGAGCAAAAAACAATATATTTTTTTCACATATGACCTCTTAAATAAATCACGTTGAACGCTTGCTATACTTACCTAGATTTTGTAAGATTAAGGACTGGTCAAGTTGAATTATGAATTTGCAATGTGCATTTTTGACAATTGAAGTATCAATGACGATATAATATATAATCAATCACCTATCCTAGATATAACTTCATAGACTAGCTAGAAACTCTATAGAGAACTTTCTGATGATAGAACCCTCTACGGTTTTACGTATCTACCTACACTAGACAGAAACTCTATAGATAATTATCTTATGTTAGAACCAGAGCTAGGGATCTTTTATGAACCCAGCATCTATAGGCTCGGCATCTATGGTTTTACCACCTCATAAGAAATCGCTTCAAAATCAATATTTCCGTGGGCTCAAAATTTAAATTGGTAATAAAAGGTATTATGAATATTATATACATAAAATGATCCTATAAAATTAAGGCATTTCCGGATTTCGGGAGTGGTTCACCCTTCGATAGTCCCCATCCAGCTGAAGTTGAAATAAGTATTTGTCTTAAAGGAGACAGTCATTCCAACTGAAGTCGAAATAAGTATTTGATGTAAAACAGTCATTAAATTTTATTATACTATTTATTTGGCTCTTGAGAATGTGATCTGTTTGTCTTACATAAACTTCAAATCTCTTGGTGAGGAAATGCTTGGTTGCCAACTTCTAGATAATTTAATTTTCACTTTAGTTTATTTGAAATCAGTTACGGAGAACCTGTTGCCATAGGGTCACTTGTCATGGTAACAACTAAACAAAAACTTAAATCTCGAATTGAAATAATGCATAATTGCGAAGTTATAGATGATATAATCTAACGTTACTTTAGCTGAAAGGCATTTTTCATGCATGCCACCTACTAACTTGTATGAGAAATGCCTATTACTTACCTATTACTTTAATTTTATATAAGTAATTAAAACGGCTGTAATGTTTAGAATTTTTCGATGTTAATACTTTTTAGATAGAAACTTTTTGAGGAACACTGTAAATTCGAAAATATTTTTGGATTTTAGCTCCAGTAGATATTCATCTTCCTTTATAAAAGTAATTTTTAAAAAATCATATATCAAAGTCTGGACGTGTATAATAAAATGCCTCACACTGTATGTGTTACAAATGGCTTTATATTTGTTCAAATGTTACTATGGTATTAATAATTATGATTTTATTATTGTGTTTGTCCATTACCTTGGTCTCGGGCCATTGGACCCAGTCGTTTGGATGATATAGTCAATACATAGAGGCCTTTTGGTAAAGGATGCACATGATGGATGCTCCTCGACTGCATCATATGATATACCCGGAAATTATAATTGTTTTAATACTACTAAGAAATAATATTTACTATTATTTGCTTGTAATAAGCCCTACAGTAACAGAATATAAGCTCTGACCTGTCGTGCAATTAGTTACATTTAGGATGATATAACTCGGAAGGGACAAATAATTCGTACTAAAAGACGCACTAAAAATAAATATTCTTAAAAAGATCTTATTTTTATTGGGTGTTGCACAATTTTCCATACATTTCTGCCCATTGGCTTTTCTTGAAATTTAAACAGCTGTCAAAGCTTATAGGGTACATACATTTTAATGACCTTTCTACTGGCCTTAACAGCTGGTTTTAACAACGTTTATTAAAATGTATTGGTCTCATGAACTTTGACAAAGGTTAAAAATATGATCTGTCTGAATGACATTACAAGAACGTTTATTAAAATGTATGTGACTGATGAATTTTGACAAAGGTTGTGATCTATCTAATTACAGTACCTTCAAATTACTCCCACTAGTCTAATCTAAACATATTTGGCTTTTTGTGTAAAAAGAAAAGTCAATAGCTTTTTCAGTTTTTTTATTTTTAATGTTTCAACTTTTTTGTGTGCCATCCTAATCCGTTTCAAGTGTGGCAGCATTTTGTGCCACCATTTGAAGGTTCTACTACTTTCCCATTCACTCACTTATTCATTCCACGTCTTAGGTTAAATGATAGTAGCATGGCCCATGATAGAACGTCTCAACCGTCACATATCCATGACATGGCTAGCGTCTCACGACTTAGTGGTTGCGAGAACGTTAGTGACTACTCTCCGGCATGTTTTAACTTTATAGGGCTTAGATATTTTTGTTTATTATATACCTTATAAAAGGGATTTTGAGGAAAAATACTTAGTTTTGGATTCTGATTTAAGTCTTTATATTTTGTTTCTTATCGAAAGGAATTAAATAATATTCTTTCTGAATATTAGCGAGTTATTGACATTTGCGGATATGATTTAATAATAGAATAATTTTAATCCAATAATTTAATATATATTTGTAAAATCCGGAATTTTCAATAACTACTAGAATTAAAAGACAAGTTTATCTGTATATGTTTGCTTAATAAATGTTTATTGTGTATATTTTTCTAAAAATATAATAATTTAGTTAACGAAATATTAAATTATTTTGTACATGAAAATGACTTTTCTGTTTCACATGAAACCAAAAATTGTTTGTTTACCACACCCACACAAAAAAAGAGTTCTTTGTGATGAAATCTTCTCTTGCTCTTTATAATTTGGCACTGTTTTCTGTATTATTAAATTTTGAGCTAGACTAAATATGTCTTCAAGTGCCCCTATTAGTGTAAAATACACATGGAAAAATATTAGGAGGACATGTTTTTAACCAAAATTTATTTCGTAACAATAAAGAACTTTTTAAATTAGTTTCCATTTCTTAAATGTATGTGTACAATTATATAATTTTTTGAAGTAGAATACATTCTATAATTATTTTTCTTAGATGTTTTTGGAAACTAGACATAATTAAAATTAAAAAAAGATATGGCGTTTTCATTATTCCCAGTATTTATTTTAGACATTTGTACTTTCTTGTTAAAAACTATCTATTAAAATTATACAGTGTTCAAAGAAATACCTATATTACCTATAATAATCTGTCACTTGCGCTGCAGTATTTAATTAGGTTGCAAGACTCATAAGTATAGAAAGTGAAATATTACACAGAATGGAGCAGGCAGTTTGCAGGGCGCCCTGCAGTCATGTACAGTGTACTTTCCAGGCTGTGACGTATAAATTTTAACAAGCATAGTGGTACATTCAAATTGATTTATTTCCAGTTAATAATTGCGATTTGGTATAAACTCATCTTTATTCATGTTCATTTCCATCATTTCAATATGTGACATTTTATTCAGTTGTGTTTTCAGAGACACTTAAATTTTTTTTATCCAAAAATGAAACTGAAATCACTTTCAGTTGCCGTAGTCCTGTAGAGTTTACTTTCTAGTTCAATCTTATGCGATTTTCTGACCGTTAATAAAAGTTTATTGCAACATATGTCCTAAAACCATCAGAAAAACATGTTTAATTTTTCTACCTTGTTATAACAACCTGTTATATGTTAAAAAAGCAGTATTTGGATTTACTAGTGGATAAAGAATGTTTAATTATCAGTTTTCATATCAAAGTCGTATATTCTTATTTGCTCATCAGGTTAAACAAAAAAACTGTCTCGTATTTTCCATTTACGAACCTTGGTCTCCCTTAATTTCCACCTCCAATGTTATTTTTCTCCAGTTTCTACTTATTGAGATTTTTTTTTTAAATTTTGGTTTAATATAATATCTAATCCTTGCATCTTGCTTTCTTCTATTAATTAGCTTTTTGGACCGTCTCCTCTTCCATTCTAGTTGCATGCCTGTCTACTGTAGCTTTTGAATTCTGATGTAGTAATTTTTTCTTTTTCATTATTCTTGGGAACAAAATGACAACAACGCCTTACTTTAAATTTTAATTTTTAATACTGTCTAGTTTTTGTAAAACGCAACTCAGAGGAAAGGCTGAAACACAATGACAATTTTATATTTATGTTAATATATTTA